TCGACTAATTCGGATCAGGTACTGCAGAGGCGAGGGGACCCTCCCAACCAATTTGCTCAATTCACAATTGCCAAAATTCAAACCCTTGACATTGCTTAAGAGATTTAGTGTCTCACCCGCTAGACCAACCAATTGTTGGTATTGGATTATCATTCTTTAGTTCACCCCTACTTGATTAAATATCTAATAAATTATTATATTTCTTAATTTAAATACTTGGTTTTATATTAACCAAAATACTATTAGATCAAAATCTATCGAACATAAAACAATTTTACAGGGGCTAGGGGCCCAGCCCTAAGGGAGCTCCTCCCCTGTCACAGGGTCAAACACCTGCAAGTATGATGAACCGATTGAATGTTGGCAAACAAGACTCTTTGATAATGTATGCTTTAAATGACAAAAGGGGAAAAAAAAAGTAAAATTAGGGGAAATAGGAGGCTGACCCCTTTCCCATCAGGGAAACACCGCCAAAAGAAGTCTGGACGAGGTCGACCGACAGCATCTTTAATAGCATCGGTTATAACACCAGTTATAAGCACAGAAAACAGAAGGCCTGAATAACGATTAAACACACCAACTGTTACTGGATGCAGTAACAAACAGATAAAAGGTGATTAAATTTCGGAATCTCAGGGTAGATGATGTTTTACCCAGTATGGCATGGTGTAGGTCATAAACATCTCCTCCGAAGAAATAGTAGACAAGAATGGCAAAAAACGGAAGTAGTATCAAAAGCATCTGTTTCAAGGAAGAACAGAGCATTATACTTTTAGTGTTTTCATTGAATTGATCTGAGGAACAAATCTCATGTCAAAAAGTGATTCCAATACGGAAGAAAATCTCAAAGACTAGCACTTACAGGAACGGCCCGAAAGGGAAGAGTGTTGTCTTGCAAGGGGTATCTGAGGTCAGTCATCATATCCTCTCCAACAAAGCGGCGAAATGGTTCTATAACATTTAAGATGGCCTCTGTGACAACAAGAAGCAAAAAAATAAGCCAGTCATGCATGTGAGTCCTTGCAACTTGAACCCCATGGGACCTTAAAGTGTGAGCACCCAACTATATCTCTGGCATTCTCTCTGATCTTTAAAAAAATATGAAATAAACCATTCATTATAACGAAACGAAGTCAATATTCTATTGACAAAACATAAGTAGACACTATAATTTCCAATATAGAAAATAAGAAAACAAGGGTTACGAACACAAGCAGTCAAGCAAACCATAAATTAGAGTCAACAACAGCATAAAATGCTAATTTTAAAGTAAGTAAATGACAAATAATTTAAGACTAATCTAACAGAAAGTTGTGATTCAGTTTTAGTCCGAGCATCAAAAGGACGATTGGCTTACAATTTAATCGAGAAAATAGCACAAATCAAAGAAGCAAAGAATACAACCAAAAAGAAAAGAAAGGGAAACCAAAGAGACAAACAGACTCTCGCACTCAGCTATGGCCAAACGAGTCAAAACAATAGAACTCCGTCTTTTGGTCCCCCCCCCCCCGGGGTCTCTTCGCCTTCAAATTTGCACAATAACCAAACAAAAATCACCAAAAACAAAACTGAGAGAGTGAGTGAATTTGAACTTACCTGTGGAAAAGATCCTTCAAGAAACGAATAGTTTTTTAGTAAACCGCGTTTGTTTTAGTTTCCGATTAATTTAGGAACATTTTGAAGTTGATTCATAATGTGGAGTCAGTGACTGACAGACACACAAGAAGAGTACAAAAGGAGCGAAATCTGAGGGTAATTTTAGTTCATTGCAACGTAGTATTATCTCTGAATATGAATAATATAGTGTAATATTATTTAATACATTATTAAAAATGTTGTATTGTTATATTTAGTTCGTTTAGTAAAAATGAAAGATTACAGTGTTTAGTTAAAAGAATAAAAGATTATTATAAGATATATTTTATTAAATTGTTTTTTATATATTTATTTTTTAACAAGTTAAATTTTAAATATTCAAATGAAAATATTTGTATAGAAGATCATAGAAAATATATAATTTTATTATTTTTAATTTATATATTTTTTTTTAAAAAATTAAAATCATAAAATTTATATATTTTTTTAACAAAATTTAAAAGATAAATATATTTAATGAAAGGGTTTAATTTTATTTTAATCCATGAATTTTATATAAAATTTTAATTATTGACTTTTTTGTAAATCTAAAATAGTTTAAGAATAAATTTGTAATTTAACCTTCGTATAATTTTTTTATTCAAAGACAGAAGAATGATATTTTTGAAAAAAATTATTTTAAGGACATTTTAGTCCAAAACGCCAGGAAATGACAAATACCTAAGGGATTAGGATAAATCACATTCCCGATAATAAACCCCTAAAATGTCACTGTTGTGAGTGACTTATTATCAGAGATTGAGAATCTTTACAATCCAAACAGAAAATTCACAGTCAGAAAAAATTCCCTGAAAAATGACAAATACCTAATGATAATACTCCTTTTTAGTAAGAAAACTAATTAAACATATCTGAATCCTGTCCTAAAACGTATCATTAATTATTAAATATTTTTTAAATGATCCATAATAAATATTATATTGTTTTATATATTTTTTAAATATAACTTTTTCTACCTAATATTAATTTTTATGTGTAATGTAAACTTTTTAACGACATAATTAAATAACTAATTTTATTTTATTATTTTTGTACATAAGTATTTAAATTTTTTGAAGAATATATTTTATTGATGTAATTCGGTATCTAATTTTTTTGTTTACTATAATAGATATCTAATAGTTTTTAGTTACAGATGTTCTATTTATAATTTTAATGTCTAATTTTTAAATCCATAAAGTATATTATCTCTTCAACTAAACAACATTAAAATTACAAGTATGAATAAATTAAAATTAAACATGTATAATTAAAAAACTAGTAAATATCTAATTACAATAAAAAAACTAAATACCAAATTACATTATCGAGAAAATGTTAAGTATCACATTATATAAATATATCAAAAGTAGGTATTAATATTTAATAAATAATTGTAATGGAAGAAACAAAATATTTATTTATAAATTTTATGTTTAATTTAATTTTTTAAATAATATAAGGTAATTGCAAGATAATATAAATTTAATATTTTTCTTATTAAAAATACACGTTCTATCGTCACAAACATAATTTATAGAATCGAGACCTCAAAGAAGAACAACACTCACATTTATTATTAAAGTTGGTTATTGAGTTTTAAATCATATATTTTTTAATAATTTGAGATGATTATAAAGTGATATATATTCATAATCTCTTTTAACTATTGATAATACATTTCCTACAAACACAACCGCTTAAATTTAAGATTTTAAGAGAGAACAACACACTCTTTAACCAAATAAACCATTTAATAAATCCTTAGATTATAATGTATAAAATAATAAAGGGTAAAGTATATAAATAATTCTATGACTATATGGTGATGCTTTATTGAGTCCTCAGCTATTAAAAGTTACAAAGTAGTTCTTTGACTATAAAATGTTGATTTGTTGGGTCCATCAACTATTAAAAGTTACAAATTTGTAACTTAATTATTCATTATGTTCCAAATTCATATTTTTCTATTAAAAATTTGATGACAATCTGAGTTGAATGTTAAAATATTGTCCTGTTTGAGCATGATTAAATTTGATCCCAGAATCTCAAATGACTATCATATCTCAAACAATATGTTAACATTCAACTCAACATGTCGTTAATTTTTTAATGAAAAAAGATGAGTTTGGAACATAACGAATAGTCGAACGATCATTTTATAATTTTTAATAGTCATAGAATTCAACAAAGCAGATGGAGGACCATTTGTGCACTTTACCCAATAAAAAAAAGACGAATTAATCGGACTACCCTAACCATAACCGCATACGACTCGAGACTTGAGAGCATAGAGCACTAGCCGCCAAGCAGATTTGTAATTGTAATTTTGATAAAATATTAAATAAGGGTATGTTTGTTTCCCTTACAGAATTGGTTTTTTTCGAATTTCTGTGTTTGTTTCACGTAATTCATTTTTCGGAAAATATTTTCCCGTATTTGTTTCACGTAATTCGTTTTCCGGAATGTAATTCATTTTCCTAGTAACAGAATTTCCTTTGTGTTTTCTGTAAAATGACTTACAGATTCATTTTCCGTAAGTCATTTTCCAAACTTTTCACTTCAAAGCAAAAATACTCAAAATAATTTTATTTTATGAATTTAATATTAATAAAATATTTTAATATCATTTTCATCAAAATATTAATTATTAAAATATTTAAAATATATTTATTAATATTTATAATAATATAATATATATTATATTTTTAATATTATATAAAATAATCAATTATATTATAATAATATAAGATATTATATTTTTATTTTAATAATATATAATAAATTTTTTTTATATATTTAATAATGAATAATATTATTTATATATTTCAATAATATTTTAGTAAAGATATTAAAATATACTAATTAATATTTTTAAAATATAATATAGTACTATTACTTTACTAAATAATTAATATAATTTATAAAATTTTATTTCACTAAAATATACCGAAAAAATGTTTAAATAACATCTTCCAAACATTATAAAACGTTTTTTCAGATGTTTTCCAGAAATGTAATTCATTTTCCAGAAATGTAATTCATTTTATAGAAATGTAATTCATTTTCCAGAATTCAAATTCCAGTAATTTATTTTACAGTAATTCAAATTCTAGTAATTTAAATTTCAGTAATTCATTTTATGAAAAACCAATTACAGTTAAACAAACCGACCCTACGTTACTATATTTAATGAAGCCGGTGAAGCAAACTTACGCAATGCAATGCATCTCGTGGCCGAAGCTCCCCATACATTACCCACGCAAAAACACAGCACAGGAAAACCCATTTCTCTGAAATTCCCTTTAATTTTGCTAAACCACAACAAAATTTTCTTAGCCCAGAGGTTCCTTCCACTTTCCCATTACTATTCGTTCCTGATTATTAGAACAAACGATAACAAAACAAAAGTCACCTATTCAACTTCAATTCCATCTTTTTTGCCAAAGACTCCTTCAAAGAATAAAGGTGAAAGTTTTAGTCGCGTTCTTAGCCCTTCAAACAAGCCAAAACCCAGAAAATTTTCAGAAATAGAGGGAGAGTTTTTTCAGGCAGATGCTATATATACAGATCTTTGATGGGTTTTTGCCATAGATGCTTTTTGTTTTTCTTTTTAAGTTGTCTATGAGAATCTTTTTTAAGGCTTTTGAAGATGAGTAGTGGTGGAGGTGGCCAATCTTCTTTTTCTCAAAGTATATGTATCCGAGAAATTATATGCAACGGGGGCGCTGGTGCTGCAGCAGGTAAGGCTTTTCTTTTGTTACTTTGATGTATTCGGTTAGGGTTTTCTTTTATCACTTCTTGCGAATGAATTAAAAAATTCGTGGATTTTTTTGTTGTTGATGAAAGTAAGGGTTTGCAGGTTGATCCTTTCATTATGAATGTCACGAAACACAATTGAAAATATTAGTGTCGCTTTTAATTTGATCGGAATTTCGGATTTATTGATTCTTTTGGTTTCGAATTCGAAGGTGCAATTGCAGCCACCTTTGTGTGCCCTTTAGATGTAATCAAGACAAGGTTACAAGTGCATGGACTCCCTCAAACTTCACAATCTGGTGTTAGAGGTATTGTAGATTCTGAGACTTTGAAACTGATTTTTATTTGAGATGCATGGTTTAGCACAAGTACTCGTATTGAATTTATTGCTTGTATGGTACTGTATTGTTGAATAAGCTTGAAATATTAATTGAGGCCGGGATTCTGATTTTTTTCATCATTTCGTAAGAAATCTTTGGAATTCAAAATTCTTGCTTTCTTATGCTGCTCTGCACCTAAAATTGATGTATCTGCAAATTTTTCTTGCTAAGAGCTATTATTTTATAATTTGTAGTACAGTTTTCTTTCTAGACCAAGAATGTTTGATTTTACATAGTATGTGAAATTCTTTGTGCTTGAATTAATGATAGATGGTGTGTTTTGCTATCATTGATGACGTGCAACTCTTCTTCCTGCCTTGTTTCGTATCTATACTCAGGCAGTGTCATTATAACAAGTCTACAAAATATAATAAGAAATGAAGGTTTGAAGGGTTTGTATCGTGGACTTTCACCAACAATAATTGCTCTACTTCCAAACTGGGCGGTAAGTAACCTATCACCCTTAATCAAGTAATTGGAAGCTACATATTGGAGTGTTGGATTTTTCTCTCTCCATTATATTTTATGATTCAGAATTCTAGTTTCTCTTTGAACTTTTGATATGTTAGATGGACCAGTCATAGAGTGTTGGTGATTTATGGTTTTGGAAATTTTTAAGATTAATTTTTAGAATCAAGTGGTCATACTTGTATATGAATACTGAAGTTCCAAGAGGTGTCAGACATGGGTATGTTATGATAAACAATAAACTGGGGATTCCAGATCACATAACTTTTGATGTAATGCTGCTGTAAATGCTACTGTGTGGCCAACTTTTTTTCCCTTAGCCTGCAAGCCCCAAAGGGAAACTTTATCCCTTTCCCTATGATCTCCCCCCTTCTATTCGAAACTAGCTTTAAGGCAATCTGTGTAACTAAATTTCTTAAGATCCCATGGAAAAAGGATTGTGTGTGATTTCTTGCCTGTGTATTTATCCTATCATTATATCTATAGCAGGAAAGTTCAGCAATCTGCTACCATGTTCAAAAACTCTTTGCTTTTGGAAAAATTTTCCCCCAATTACAAAGCAAAATACTTATTTGATATAATTTGTCTTCTGCAGTGCAAAGTAACTGAAACTCTCATTTCTTATGTAGGTGTATTTTACAATTTATGAGCAACTAAAAGGCCTAGTCACTTCACATGGTTGGTTCTTGTAATTTTCTAAAGTTCACGCTCGACATGTGTTCTACATAATCCAGCTTCAGTTGTTTTAATTTCTACTAAAGTTGTACATTGTTATGTTGCAGATGATAACAGTGGGCAGCTCACAATTGGGGCGAATATGGTAGCTGCTGCTGGTGCTGGGGCTGCCACAGCCATCACAACAAATCCACTATGGGTTGTAAAGACAAGACTCCAAGTAAGTTCATTGTTATGCATGGTGGTTCCTCTAAAACTTATCTGTGTTTTGGATCACATTTTGTTGGTCTATTCACTCAATCATGATAATCCATTCATAAGACATAACTAGATGTGCTATATGAACTTGATATTGATGCACACATTACTTATAATTCAGTGTTAAGTGGCTCTAGTTAGTACTTAGTTTCGGTAATAGGAGTACATTCTCTTTGCAGCTGAATATGCTTCCATATGTTGTTTTCTGGAGGTACCCAAACCTGTGTAGTGACTAGGGTTTGGAAGGTCAAACTCCTTACCAATGCTTTTACGGGAGCATGATCAAACAAGCTTAGTTTTTGAACCGTAAAAGTAATCCTTTCTGGACACATGGATGAGAGTGATCAGTTCTGATTTTATATCAGAGAATTTAACTTCCTTTGAAGTTCCATTGTTGTATAAAGTCTATTCGACTTTATCCTGCAAGTTGGATTGTACCTTCTATAAAACTGGACTAGAAATTTATTTTCTATCATTTGGTCAGGGTAAAGACTGATTCCATTTTGTAGTTTTTTTGTGAGTTGGGGCAAGATTATTTCACGACATGAACTAGGCCAATTTCAGCTGGCCTGGTTATCCTGATCATTGACTTACCATGGTTATCAAAAATTTAGAGATCCAATCAGTTTCAAGTGCTAATCTGTTTAATAACATAGAATTTGCTGACATCTACATGGAAAACAAGTTTGCAAACGGGTTTAGTGTTTATACTTTTTACTTGTACGGCATGATAAGTTTACCTCCATTCCCTGTGTGCGCCAATCCCTAAATTAATATGGCAAGTAATATTACATTTTTTTTTGCATTTACCTGGACTTACCTTGACATCGTATTTATTAGATATCATTGTGGATTTATAAGTATGGTCATTCTTTATGCATTAATTGTCATTCTTTTTCCCTTTTGGTCTTTGTTTAGACGCAAGGAATGAGGACAGGTGTGGTTCCCTATACAGGTGTACTTTCTGCTTTAAGAAGAATTGTACATGAGGAAGGCTTTCGAGGGCTGTATAGGTCAGTGATCGGGTTTCACACTGCTTGGTATAATTTTGAGCTCATTTGCACCAATTGCGAGCTTAAAACAATTTTCCATTTCATTGTATTTTACAGTGGAGTTTTGCCATCTTTGGCTGGGATTAGTCATGTTGCGATCCAGTTTCCAGCATATGAAAAGATCAAATCATATATGGCAAAAAAGGGTAAAACAGTTAATTTTATTTATTGTTACATAATTTCCGGGTTGTATATAATTTCTTTCATCGGTGGTCCTGATTGTATTAATTTTTCATACTTCTTTCAAGACAGGAGATACAATGGTTGACCATCTAAATCCTACTGATGTTGCAATTGCCTCATCAATATCAAAAGTGCTGGCCTCTATTATGACTTACCCACATGAGGTGTGTTATTGTTGGTCTTTGATATATGTACTCAACTGCTATTGGGGATCACCGTCATTGAAGAAACTTTCTTGTTTCGTGGATCATGTTGTGATTATTTTCTCCTTGCTCTTTGATTTTGTTTCTTCAGGTTGTTCGATCGAGGCTGCAAGAGCAAGGGCAGGTGAGGAACACTCAGGTGCAGTACGCAGGGGTGGTTGATTGCATTAGAAAGGTATTCCAGAAGGAAGGTGTTTCAGGCTTTTACCGTGGCTGTGCAACTAATCTCCTGAGAACAACACCATCAGCTGTCATCACATTTACCAGTTACGAGATGATTCACAGATTTCTGAACCAGGGTTTACCTCAGGGAACTAAGAACTCAGAGGTGGACCCTAGGTATGATGGCCATGTCAAATCCTGGCCTAATAATAGAGGAAGTGTGGAAGACAATAAATTATCGCAAACTCAGTCAAATAAGATTACACCATAAAATCCCAGTAGATGCTTTGTTAGGGATCAAACAAGAGCCTGGTAAGTGTGTACTAAGATTTTGTTGGAGAAATTTTTTCATAAATGTAACTGAACTTATGTACTCAAAATATTAAAAGTCAATAAAAGTGTAATACTTTTTTTTGTTTTGTTTTATTTGTTAATGTAAATGCATAATTTGTTCATAGGAAGAAAATTCCACCAAGATAGACATTTATTGTATTTAAGTTGTGAAATCTAAAAATTTAACAATAACTTTTTGCATAACTCAATGATAAAAAAAATAACTCAATGATAAAAAAAATAACTTAATCATAAAAAGAATGTTGTTCTCGATGTTATATGATACCCGTGTAAAGATACAAAAAATAACTCAATGATAAAAAAGAATGTTGTTTTCTTAGTTGTAGGGTGTTATATGGTGCACATGTTGTAAACAGCAATACAAAAGAATGTTGTTATCTAAGTTATAGAATGTGCATGCGTTGTTAATAAGCGCCGTCAATATTAGGTTTTTTATTCTTAGACCCCTTTTCATGAAAGGTATCTACAATCTATCCCATCACCTCATTTCACATACCATATTACCCCCTTATTAATTCTCATGTCTGACCTTAATTATTATGTTCTGTTTATAAAGATTTGAAATATAAATTATTGTCTAATTTTGTATTTGTTGTTAAGGTTATAAATTCACAGCCAAAATTATGATAGGTTTGCATGATTGAAAGATATGATGATGAACTAGTATTCAATGTATATGTTTATTAATGGTAAAATAATAATATAGTAGTAAAACCCTTGTAAACATAATGTAGAACCTGATCGGTAAAGTAGACATAGGTGGGATAGCTTTATAGAGCTCTTGATGTATGATATGGTGAGAATTAGCTTAATGCGACCGGGAGTAGTTCAGGCCATGTGTTGCTGGTGTGGGTTTTGTCAAACCATCCTCCACACTCATCCAAGCTCTCTCATTGACAGATTTGACGATCGTCTTTCATTTCGGCTTTTTAATATACATATTTTACCATATGCATCAATAGTGGTGGTGGTTAAACACTAGAGCTTCCTTCCCTCTTGGCCTTCATACTACTTGCTGACTTCAGAACACTATTATATATGTTTGGCGGTTAATTCTATAACAGTTACGGTTAATAGTTAAATGATCGACCGTTTCTTAATAATTATATTACGGTTAGTAAAAATTAATAACTATTATAACAATCAATTGGTTGTTTAAGTTAAATATATAGTATGATTAATCGACTATGAACATTTTGATTGACTGAAAATGTTTATACAAGCTTGACAAATGCATCCGCCACCTTGTTTCCTTCTTGCATAACATGTTTGATAGAGACAACCCAATCTCTGCCTAGTAAAGCATCACTATGTTGTAATAAGGTGAGCATCATCCATTTGGAGTAATTTGGTAGCTTTATCATTATCTGTTTTGAGTATCACTTTTTTTTCCCAGAGTTTCGCTTCAAGTACTGTACAAATTCCAATTTTTTTTTTTTTTGCATATCCCCACTTCCAACAACCCCTATTGTCTTATAGACCAGTCCTCAGCAGGTGGCGTTATTCGTATGGAGATATCGTGCCCCGTCCGTGTTAAACTTGCACCACCCCAGATTGGGTGCTAGCCATCTGACCAGGGTACGATTATGTATCTCATTCCCTTCATAATGCTTAATCTCACCTATCATCAGAATATTCATTTCTTGTGTGAATCTTGTACATTTATCCAAGATTGAGTCCCTTTCAATGACCTAAAAATCAAAGATAATCCTATTTCGCTTTTCCCATAATGGCCATGTAATGGTTCCAAATAAAACATCCAAGTCGGTATCTTCCCTTGCAAAATTCATGTTTCTTAGGTTAAGTTTCACCCACTACCACATTATGCAGGCTAGGAATTTATCCAGCTTATTCAGTTTTATCAGTTATTAATTCCCTTGCAAAATTCATGTTTCTTAGGTTAAGTTTCACCCACTACCACAAGTAATTTAGTTAATGAATATCATAGTGATAAATTTTTTGAATTATCATTTATTGTCACTAATAATATGTCACAATTATCTAATGAATGACCAAATAAAAATAAACTACAATTATTTATTTTAAAAATGATAAAAATAATTTTTATCACAAATAAATTACTTGTGATGAAACTTTTCAATGTCACGAGTAAATTATCACTGGCGGCTAGTATATACCTTCAACAGCTGCAGCAGCTAGCATCCACTGTGATATCCAATGGGATGGTTCATCGTTGGATGCATCATGCATGCAGGGCCAAAGGAATGTCTCGGTTCTTGGTAAGCTGTGCTATTTTTCAACAGCGACCCAAATATCATCGTTCGGCTCCTTTTCTTAGAACTACCAAAAAGAACATCTGAACTGAGTCAAGGCGATGAGTACTTTCAGGCTGTCACTTTATCGCAAAAGAAACGAACAAGTTACTGCTATGGATGGACAGAGGCTGGTAGGTAGGACGGATTCTTAAAAATTTAAAATTATAGTATATTTTAGATTTTTTTATATATATTTTTATTGAAGATATGTTTTTCTCTTTATAATTTTATATGTTTAAATTCATCTCTTAACATAAGATATTGCATCTATCCTTGTTACAACCTTGCTTTACCATAAAATCAAAGCCTAAAAATATTAGTGATATTTGCTACAGTGCCGTTAAACGCCAAGAACAAATCGATGAGAGTTATCCTTTGAAATAATATGCAAGAAAACACACAACTTAGCTAATTGCTTCCATTAAGATATTATTCATAAAGTTGTTTTCATCTGCTTCATTAATCTGGAGAGAAAGAGGAAGCTTGGGGATTTGACAAGGCTAATAAAAGAAGAAAAAACCATTATTGGATGTAAGGACAAATATTTGTAGCAAATCAAGGATTTTAATCGTTTCCAAGCATAGCTTCCTTGAGCCATTGGCACACTTGATCAACCTCAGCTGGAAGTGGTTCAATGGCAGGATCCATACAATCATCTGCATCATCATCAAGAACTTTCAGCAAATCAACCAAGTGTGCTGACTGTTCTGGTGTCCATTTTTCTGACTGTGTTGCAGCTCCATTCTCCACCTCTGTCCCAGATTTATCTACCAATGTTTGACTCCACATATTGTTCTGAAATTGATTTCCCATAATCCCAGTAGACGCAGGCATGCTTGGTGGCAATTGTAGAGTTCCATTCATTGAACTCATGGGATCGAAACCTAGACTATGATTCAGCTTCTGATGCCACTGTTGATTATTCCGGTTAAAACAAATAGCCGAACCTGTTGGTTGTAGAGTTACTTCTGGCGTTTGAGGCAAGCAAAAGAATCCCGGTTTGTCATAAATGCTTGTAGATGCAGTCGTATTCGACGCTAAATTACTGGGGCTAGACCTTGGCGTACGATGCATTTGTGCCTTGTGTTTCTGGTTTGAGAAAAAATGGAAAACAAAGGCCAAGTACTCAACGATCTTATTTATTTATACCCACCACGTAATAGCATGCAGCAGCAGAAATACTTGATAATAATATAAAAAAATACCCCTTATGTTTCAATGAATAATCAGATTTTTTTTATAAAAAAATATCCCTTATGTTTCAATGAATAATCAGATTTTTTTTAGAGTAGTTTGATTAAGATAAAATGTTACTTAATTAGATGAAAATATACCATGTGTCTAAAATGGTGGGATGAACTTTAAACTCATAGGACTTGTTATATAAATAACAAGTGTTAACTGTTAATTAATTAATGATATTCATTTAGTGAGAAATATTTTTCTTCAAAATAGAACGATAGGATCAAAGTGATTAAAAAATAAGAATGAAAGTGATTATTTTATTACGGAGAATTTTAGTATTATACCTGTACTATTTTAGTAAACCGTAGTGGCGTAGTTCTAGGAAGTGGAACAAAGAGACACAAAGATAATAACAGTTTACTAAATGATAGAAAGGAACCTGCAGATGGCTAGCAATCTGGCGATGCGTCAAATTAGGCTCCTTCATCATCTTCAATATCGACTTCGGACGAGCTTCTGTATCCAGAAAAAAAAAGTCTATTAATAATAGATTGGTTTAATGGAGACACAGCAAGTGGAATATTCAGTTGTTACTCTCATCGCCTAATGCAGTGATGGCGGCCGCAAACTTATGGTGGAGCTCCTTACACCAAACAAGCCGCGCTTTCCTCGTCCTGCTTCCGGATAACCTATTCAGGCTCGACGCAATCCTATTCCCATTTCTACTTTTCTCTTCATATGATGTCTTCGACATGGATGCTACATGTCCGAACTTCAGACCACCTTCCCCCATGTCTACTGCTCGCTTCTGTCGATCATCTTTGCCCCTGTCTGGCGGAATCACTTCCTTGTTCTTCCCCTCCGGATCATTAATGGTCGACAAACCAGTGCCACGTAGATACGTATACGTTTTAGCAGCGGCGACTCGAGGCCATCGAAACGCATGTTGCCAGAGGTATTTAAGATCATGCAGGGAAATGGGTTTCTGGAGATACAAGCTTGCTCCATAGCCAATGAGTTGCTGGGCAAATTTAGGGTTTGTTTCATTGGACATCACTGCTTGTATGTATAGGCATCAGAAAGAGAGAGATGATTCAGTTGAGTTCATTAATGAAGACAACTTCAGCGAATGATTTGAAGTTTTTTTTTTAAAAAAAAAAAACTTACGTATGACGGGGATATTCATCCTGACTGATACGATCAACAATGAAAGAGTGTTGGTTTCATCATTTGAAATATCGGCCAGAACAAGTTTGAATCTTTCGCTTCCTTCCCGTATCATGGAAATTGCTACCGATGCTAGTTCAGTTGTCGTCACTGCACATAAATTTATATATAATTTCATTACTACATCAATAATCATTTATTAATTAATTAATTTTATAACTATACTTTACAAACTTAATTGTTATTTACTTTTACCTATTATCATTTGAAATGATTACATATTTTCTTTTATTTCATTGCTTTTATAATTTAATCAAATTTTTATCTCAAGGTTGACATATAATTAAATTAAACATAAGTTTAAGATATTTGATTTTACTTGAAGTGAAATTTAATTTAATTTAATTAAAATTTTAATTTTATAATGTTTCAATGTAATTTAAAACTAATTAATTTTTTATTTTGTAAGTAAAGTTAGAGAAAATAAATAAATAAATGTGTTAAATAATAATTAGTGTATAGTTTTATTTATTTATAAATTTGAGTAAATACAATGCAATTCAAAATCTCTCAATCACAATGATACTCGTACTCCTACACATGTGGTGTTCAAACTCAGAATTTCAATAAATAACAACGGATCCCTTAACCATTGAAATTGATTTATATAGATAAAATTATATTTTTATTTAAAATTTACATAGTAAATGGATTCGAAGGGGATATATGGACTTTTCTTCAAGCCTAAGGGGGTCGGTAGGTATTTTCCAAACCATTGGGGCCTAAGTTTATTTTACACCAAACTTCATGGGATAAATGTTTTTTACTTTTATTATTTTTATATTTTTATAACAATTTTTAAAGATCTTTTTCCTCAGGTAGAAGATGTTAAAAATAATTTGATTACTAATCATAAATTTAATTACAAAAATATACAGATAAAAGTCTTTTTTATTCTTCTACAACTCTGTATAACACAAATAATTTTTTTATGATATAAGCTACTAATCGTAGATATTTTACCATTAAATAATAATATTTTTAATTATATTAGCTCAAAATCAACTCTTTTCAAACAATAGAGGTCCAATTTTATTAGACTTGAAAATTACTTGATTTTAAAAATTAAATAGCTTAAATATGAAATTGTCTAAACTCCCCTCAAAGTGAGACTTATTTTACTTGACTGAGTAGATCTATTATTTGGGTCACAACACAAGTCTTTCTTATGTGAATGGTAAATCTTCCTATGGGAGTGGATACTCATTTAAAAGAATACTATTAGTTTTTTTACTTAATAAATATTTAAGTTTTATATATTTTTTATTAAAATATTAAAAGATCATCCATTACGATAAAATTAAATAATCAAACCAATAAGTTTTAAAAAATCACGTGACTTTACTAGTTAAACTTCAATTACATCATCGATTACCGTACAGAATTTTTAAAGGAAATATTGTTATATAAATTCGAGTTATTGTTCTTATTAATACAAGTAAGTCTTTTTCATGTCATACTTATAGTTTGATAAAAAAAATTAAAACCACTAAAATTAATTTCTATAGGAAAAAAGTATGAGATGAAAAAGAAAAGAAAAAAGATGATGCATATGAAAGCTACATATAATAATTTTTCCAAATGAAGATTCATACCATTGTAGGAATATTGTTCTAGCATGGATGCGAGGCACATGAGGGATGTCGTGTCTCGATCGACCACCAGGATCGGAAGGGCGCCGGCGCTTCTTCTCAGCCCCTCCTCCATCTCCACGGCTTATTTCCGGTGCAAAATGAGCAGATAGAGAGTAGCAGCAGCAGACAAAGGGGAGGAAAGAAAAAGATTGGAACTCCACAGAGTTAACACTTGGCAGTATTAAATAGCGAGAGAGAGCATGCATGCACTTTGCCCTAAAACAGCAACGCATTCCATCTTTGTGCTTATTGTGGGGCTCATCTGGTAGCCAATGGTTGAGCAACACGTGGAGAAATCAGCCAACGAAAGTGGACTGGTTTGGGGGGAGTCCAGTCAGCAGTGTGTTGACTGATTTAATGAGCAGGTGTGAACATAAATGGAAAGGAAAGTTGCTACCATCTATGGATGGGTTTTTTGTTACATTTCATTGGCAAAAATTTAACTCACTTCAACTTAAATGGAAGGATGGTTAATGTCACCATTGAAGTTGTTATCACCACAAAACAAATATTAATGCTCTATTTTAATCTCTTAAATATATTTTTTTAAATTGGTAAACAAAAACTAATTTATTTTCCTCTAATGGGTTCGATCAGGTAAGTTGATGGGTTTTGATTTCCTAATGCACGGGTTGGGCTGCATTTCTCAATTTATAATGGCTTCACTCACATTTTCCAATGCTGCAGTTGGAACTTGGAAGTAAGGGTTTTGGATTTAATTTTAGGGCTAATAATGTTGTATTATCATCCAAAACTAAGCCCTTGACACAGTAAGAAATAGGTTTGTTATTAACATTTATGCTCTACTCTCCAAAGGAGTTTTGCTTATTGGCCACCAAACAAGAAGCAGAATTGGGATTACAACCAGGCCACTTCCTCATAACTCATGAACGAATGGCCAAGCTAGAAGTGAAATACACTAGTGCAAGGAAAAGAAGCTGATATCCTCGAGCCTGGTGAAGCACCAAAAATAAAATTGGAAGGAAAATTAATGTTGTTTAAGTTAGACAAAAATCAATGAGAGGTGCCAAAAAAGAAAACAAACAAAACCGACATGCAAGCATAATAATGGGTAAAGGAGTGTATGATAATAGCATCTAAACCGAATCGAGTCTAAAGGAGTGTAAGATGAACTAATGCAACTCCAACAACATATCAAAGAGGCAACCTCAGCCCATATTGGGATGTTTCTTCAGGGTTGGTAAGTGGATGAGTTGTAGTGTTAGTGCAGGGCACATGCGGGAGTGGGATCATGTTTACAGGAAGGGAAGGGGAATATTAGGGAAGTTTGGAATGGTGGTAAGAAAGTCGCACCAAAATAGACGGCGTTAACATAAGATGACAAAAAGACAAAACACACTCGAGTTCACGGGTTTGGTTTGTTCATCATCTAAAAAAGGTGGGGAAAAAAGAGAGAGCAAAGTTCACGGGTTCCCCAATTCATTCATTTCATCTTCTTCTCCACCCAACAAGGCAGCAACTGCTTCACTTGTTCAATCCTCCATTCTCAAAAAAGCTTTATCATGTCTGGTGGTTCTTCTAGTTATTGGATCAAAGGGGTGGTAATGGTGGTGTGGGTGTTGAGTTGGAAGAACATTGGGGCGGCCAACGTCAAAGTGCAAGGCAACATCTCCAAAGTAGAAGATGCTAAGAACTACCATATCTACTATGGTCAGACTTTCAAGGTCATTAAGAATGGCATCGATGGCAAGAGTTATCTTCTCATCCAGGTTGGCTCTGTACTCTCTTTATTTCTCAATCTCAACTGGTTGGCCATTTTCATTTTCATGTTGAAATGATTGAATTTTTTATATGTAGAGTGATACAAGGATGGCCGGAAGGACAAGATACTGCACGCCAAGGATTAAGTCTTTTGTCATCCCACTCTCCAATTTCTCAGCCGATACAACCAACAGTTTTCCAGGTATTTTGGTCTCCATGACTCATTTCACCGACCTCTGTTCTGGTGCAATAATTAAAAGAGTTCCTTATACTGGTTAAATTTAGTGATTTTGGTTTAATTTAGGACAGGTAGATGTTAAAAAATAATGAATTTAATTCACTTAGTTCTGTTTTGTTGCAATTTGATATACATATCATTATTAATTTCATTACCTAACATTCTTTTTTCCTCTTGTGGTCGGCTCTCAGTTTCATTTTTTGAGGTAAGAACTAAAACCAATACAAGTTGCTAAGTATTTGTTATGCATAGTAAGAAATTAGAGGGATGAAGAGGTTAATGTTATGGAATATGGATGCAGCTTTTGGGATTGGTGGGAAGCATGAAGGGGATGACATCAAACTCGGTGGCCTCGGAATGCGTATTAAAATTGGTTGGAGGAGGAGAAATCAATATGATCAACGCCAGTGAGCCTCAGCAGCTCACTCCATTTGCAGCCCATTTTGTTTCTAACGTTGATCTATTTCAAGCTTGCAATTTTGCCAACTTTGCTGCTACTGGGGAGGACACTCCTTTACAAGTATTTTTATTTCCTTTTAATTTAGCCACACATATATACAGTGACGGATCTAAAAATTAAAAAATGGGATTCAAAATTTTAATACTCGATTCTAAAAAAATTTGGGTATACAAATTTTCTTATTTTTTCCTATTCCCATTAGTAAACTAAACTAAATTTAACACTCTTCTTAAAATAATGGGTGTGCAATGGCTCCCCTATGGAGCCATGTACATCCACCCCTGCATATATATAAGGAATAATGCAAGATTTTATACTAAGAGAGTGAACTTGTCAAATTTTAAGGGGACAAGGACTCCCCAACCGCCCCTCGATACAACCATGTATATATGTACAAATGCATGTATGATCTCCTTTGTTTGTTTTATGATAGAGAGCAGAATGGATCAAGTTCTTGGGGGCTTTTGCAAATTTGGAAAATAGAGCAAATCAAGTCTACAAAACGGTTAGTATTTGCTTTCATTTCTTAAATATTATTATTATTATTATTATTATTATTATTATTATTATTAATTTGAACTCTTCAAATAATAATTTTTTTGTTATTTTATTTAAATATTTGTATAAATGTAAAAAAATGTTCTTAAAATAATATTTGTTATCCTTGATAAATGAAGTTATATTGATCATTTTTTTAATTAAATTTCTGTCAACTTGACTCTAATATTTAATCAATAATTCAGTAAATAATATAGATGATACTATTTATGAGATTACAATAAATGAAATGAAATTTTAGCTTGACTCTTGCTATTGAAATTATTTGCAGGTAAAAGCCAATTATTTATGCCTAACTAAAGTTGCAGAGGCCAACGAAAAAACATTTAAACCAATAGTGGCATGGATGGAATACCAGAATGTAGGTAGAGACTACACAACATGACCATTGGCCATACATACATACATGCATACACATATGGTCTTTATAATTTACATACTTAAATTAACTCACGTTTTGCACTTTGCATGCATGAATGCAGGGCATATGGTCTTTCACAAAGGAATTATATAAGTTAAAGGTATTTGATAACTTATTCAATTATTTATGTTTACATTATAAAGTAATATTTAATTTTAATTTAAGATTAAAATAGTATGTAGAAGATGCAGGAGGAGAAAATGTAGACGCCTCCATTAACAATATTACATACAACATCTCCAATCCTGATGATATTGAAGACTTGCATGCTATCCTATGTGTAAGTAGTTTATTATTACTACAAGGTAAACTACATATTTAGTCACTAGTTTATTTTTACGATTTTGTTTTGGTTAACCAATTATTATTTTTCAAAATCATACTTAACATTGTGTTTCGGTTTTGTTTTTGTCATCTGCCGTTAAAATATAAACAGAACTGTTGACATGATAATTTTTATTTCTTCAATAATGATACATTATCGTATGGTGACACATAAACATCACCGTTATTTTTTTTAATAGCGAGTGATCAAAGTATAACTAAAATGTAACGTTAAGTGTAATTTTAAATAGATAATTGAGTGACCAAAATAGAATTATAGGAACATGTAGACGATTAAATACGTAGTTTACTCTTATTATGATTTTTGTTGTTAATGAGTTAATCAATTAATACTATTTATTTCAGACAGTGGATGTTGTAATAGATGAAACATACAGTTGGGATGCAGTTGGGTACAATGAGACAACATTCCTCCAAAACATAAACATTGAAGATTATTCATGTTTTGGATTTATTACAAACCAAAGTTTATGGAGATATGATAAGAGAATCCAAAATTTAACTACCCTTGGTAATATTTTTATTTATAAATATCTTTTTTTTAATCTTTTTAGTTCTATAATAATCGAAATTTTACTTTTGTTTTGTGTTTACATGCAATTAAAGATTGGTTGGATGGTGCTGTCTCTCAACCCCAACTGGTATTAGCTGATCTGATTGAGATTTTGTTCCCAACTGGAAACTACACCACCACTTACTTTAGAAATCTTGCAAAGGTACATTCTTTAATTTTATTAATATTTGTATATATGATATCAAAATTCATCCCTAATATTTGATTGATTGACCACTTTAATTTTTATTTTTTAAGCACTTTAGTCTTAACATTCATTTTTTATCAAAATGGATATTAATTAAATAAAAATCGTTAATTAACTAACTATCAACGCGTGTTGTTAATGTTACAAGTCCTATGTTTTTAAAGTACTGATGTGATATTATTACGTGTACATCAATGATGACATGACACATAACATATATCCAAAATGATGATGTGATATTGTTATGTATACATAAGTGATAATGCAACACACGTCACTAATCTAAAGTAATGATACATCACATACCACATGTCCATGTTATGTCATCGTTTCTGAAAACATGACATGTGTCACGTCATCACTTATATATTTATTATATGTGTCACATCATTACTTATGTATATGTGGTAGTGTCATATCATCGACAAACAACTGTTGATATTAATAAACTAACAATTTTTATCTAGTGATGGATTATTTTAACTCAAAATGATACGTTGGATGCTAAAATGATTAAAACAAATAAAAGTCTATTTAATTAGATGTTGTTATATTTCCATTTTGTTATTTATTTGTGAGCCTGAAATATAAACAAATTGGTTAATGTATAGGGAGAAGGTGTTGTAAGCATTGAAGCCAACATGTGCCAAAGGGATATATCTACACCATTGGATCCTACGGTTGTTCCTTGCCCTTGATTTGTTTGTCTCATAATCAATTTCGTGCGATGTCCGGATTCCATTATATTCGGCAGTGGTTATTGACTCTTCGTGTTGTGTTTATTGTTCCTCGATTGTTCTTTGCCATCGATTGACTTTCCGCATTATTACAGCTGTGTTTCCATGTATATGTGTTTTAGAACTCGTGCAGCTTTTGTGGTCAGCCTTTTTCATGTTTGAATGCATTCTAGTGGTTTTACTGATATTTTAAAACCACTTATGCGATATAAGTGGCATCTGCTGAATTTTGGGAGCTGATTCTATTTGCCTAGCTTTGCTTTAGATCAGGGTGATGCTGCTGGCTAGTCTTCATATTATTGGTTTTTTTCATTGGTTTAGTTGTTTGAGTGTTGCTCCATTCCTAATCCTCCACACTGTTTTTTTGGGTTGTATATGTTCGTCTGTCTTGAGTGTATTGGGGGATAGTGGGAGGGAGGGGATTCGAATGTATAACGATCATGTAATTTGTGTATTTGTCTCTTACCACCTCTAGGTTCACTCTTTTTCCTCCATTTAAGGTTAGGGAGATTTTTTAATGAGGTCCTTGAGGTGGTGTAATTTGTTATCCTTTATTATACAAAGTACCATTTTTCATATATATATATATATATATATATATATATCTGATGTGTTGGGTCTTCAATATGAAATTATTAGATTTAAATAAATTAGTGTTTGAATTTGAATTCTCTATGATGTTTTTGGTTTATTTTTATTTAAAAGTTATTGATATTGTTAATGCACGTAGTTGTTATTTTAATTGTTGTTTAAATTTTGTGTTCTATAATTTTTTTTTAAAAATATTAGCATTCTTCTTTCTAATGCCTATAATCTTCTTCTATCACTATTCGATCGTCGCAGTTTGTGAAGTAACCGGATCAAAATGTTCCCTTTTCTCTCCTCTTTCTTTTTCTTAGCTTATTTTTTCTCGAATTAGACAAAACACAAATCAAAGTTTAGATTTTATCTTGATTTAATCTATAATTTTCATCATTTAATTAGCGTAAAATCAAGATATATTATTTTTCTTCTTCTTTTCAAGCTATCCCCCATTTACATTTGAAAAATACTCTAAAATTAATAAATCAAAGAGAGTTTAAAAGTTTGATTTTTTAAGAAAAATTTCAACGGTTTTTTAAAAGTTAATTGGCCAAATTCTTTTAAATCAAAGAGAATTTAATGAATCAAATAATCAAAAAAGAAATCAACCATATTTTTAATAGTTTATCACATCACATCCACCAATAAATTTAGATTTTGCAATAACTTTATTCTTAGTTTTTCATCACACCTAAGAGTAAAAAAAGCTGAACACACAATACTCAAACTATTTAAATCAAGTAGGATGAAAATCAAATTCTAATTGGGTGAATTAATTTACATCTCTAAATAAATTCTGAACGATATTATTTTTCAAAGACAAAGTACATAAATAACCTCGACTATCGGATATTGTTTTATTAAATTTCTCTAATATTAAAAGTTATAAAATGGTTCTACGACTATAAAATATTACTTTATCAAGTCTATCAATTATTAAAAGTTACAAAATAATCATTCGAATATTCACTATAAAATGGTTCACTATGTTGATTGTCGACTGTCGGTGATTATTAGTTTTCTTATTTTTTATACTATGTCTTTTATTTTTTTTCTTGCCTTAATTTTGAATAATAATATATCTTTGTGACACGTTTTTCTATGCTCTTGTGACATGAATTTTCTATGCTCTTGTGGCATGAATTTTCTATGCTCTTGTAGTACAATCCTTATAATTTTTGGTATGTTTTACACATACCTTTGCGGTCATTTTGGTGCTCGTACAAAAACTATCACGATATTTATTTTCTGATTGGTTTGTTTGTGGTAATGTATAGTCATATTTCTTTTTTGGTAAAAAGTTGTATGACGATATAATCAGAATTGTGTAGCAAAGTAATCTGCTAAATTGTTTGATTCCCTCATCACTCCTTTATTATTTCGTAAAACGTCTCATTCGACAGAGACAAGAAATTCTTATGAAGGTTACTGAATTATTTTAATATTGATTGTCATTCTCAATGAATTTTTTTTTTTCATCTTCAAGTTTAATATTACATTTGTGTATGAGTATTTTATAAACTATTGTGTTTAATTTTTTTCTATAATTTAGTGTGTTGTATTTTGGTTTATTCTATTATTATTAAATAAAATGTCACTTTTAAACACCCACAAGTCGAATCTAGAACCGAGTAGCTTTAACCTTTTTTAAAGCAATTATTAATTTTTCTCTTTTGTATGGCCACAATAATCTTCTTGACACGTTTAAATCTGAAATTTTACGCTTAACTTTATATAAAATATGGGGTAAAATACATCAGTGACCACTTAATATCTCTTATCATTTTGATCATAATTTTTGAATTTTTATCAATCGGGTCACTCAAATATTTAAATGCATTCAATCAAACCACTTGTCGTTAACATTTACAGGAGATGATGACGTGTCTATTAGGAAAATTGGTATAATTTTACATTTGATCCTTATTATTTATATATTCTATTAATTTAGTTCTAATTTTTAGTTTAATTCAAAAAATTAACCCTGAATCAAGAGATATCATATACCACCATTTGATTTGAAGTTTTTTAATTTATTTTAATATTTTAATTAAATAATATATTCAACAATCATATGATAACACGTGTCGCCAATGCAACAAGTTTAAAATTGCCAAAAGAAAGATTTGATCCCGAAACCGAAGGCAAAATAAGGCATGCCTAAACCACTAGGGTAAACCCCATGTTTTATATTATAGGAAAGAAGAAAATAAAAGGGGTGCACCTTAATCACCTAAGCAAATAATTTTTTTTTGAAAAACACTTGCATTATTATTTTATATATCATTAAATATATATTATTAATAGGAAAAAATAAAATAATTAAGTTATATCTTAAACTCAGACCACTAGGACATTTAAATGATAAAAAATAATAAATAAATTATATTTCACATACATACACATATTAAAATCGTAGTTAATATACATATTAAATCATTTTCCTTTTAAAAATAAAATTATATTAAAATTTAATTTAAATCTTAAATTTATAATTCAAATCTTAATTTTTTATTTTTTTTATTTTTTTTCATTTCATTTAAATTTATAATCACTTAAAAATAATTATAAAACATAAAAAATTAATTTAATTTGCAAATATATAAATCTTGAATACATTTACTTTAAATATATGCTATTAACAGATTTTTTTAAATGCCATTAACAGATATATATATATATATATATATATATATATATATATATATATATATATATATATATATATATATATATAATGTTACAGGTTTTTCTAAATATGTAATTTGAATTCACATCAAAACCTTTTCATTTTAATTTTTTTTGCGATAATCTAAACTGCCATATATAAAGTATTTTGAAAACATACAATAAACATAGGCTTTACACTAGTGGTTGAGGATTTGTTAGAGATACCTTTGATCATCGATTTTATTCCCCCAAATGTCATATTTTCGACAACAAAAAAAGTTTGATACATTTTCCATTTGATGTTAACAGCTCATTGGTTGAAATATTATTTAATTAAAATATTAAAATTGATTTTAAAAAATGTCATTATAATCAATTGACACGTGAAATTTCTTGATTATAGAGTAAATTTTTTAAATTAAATTGAAATTAAAACTAAATTTATAAAATGTGTAAGTAATAAAGACTACATGTATAATTATACCAATGTATAATTATAGAGTAAATTTATAAAATGATGTCAAAATGAAAAGGGGTCAATAATTAGATGGTTACTGATATAATTTACCCTAAAATATTTAATCAAATAACTAAAATTTATCATTTGTCTTTTCAATTTATAACTCAAATTAAATTTACAAATTTTCTATCCTTACCGTACCAACCAACCAGAAAAATTCATCCAAATCTCAGTTCAAACCGATTTCTGCTGGTTGGTCTATTCTCCGATTCCATTACTATGGAGGAAATCTTAGACCAACGGGTTCATGATTGATCCAGTGGGATCGATCCGATCTGATTTCTAAAATCGAATTCGAAAGCTCAACTCAGGTCACATCAAAACTATAACGGCCATAAATATGAATTTCTTTCCGAAATGACGTATATATGTATGAACAACTAATTTTCACATAGTTTCTACCTATTGGATGCTAAGACATTTTACGAAACCTAGCAATCGCTTTCTTATGAATCACAGTTTTGTAACTATCACCGGCTTGCACCTCAAGGCTTGGGTCCAACTTCTTTGTCTGGCTTCCGAGTCCTGCTCTACCGTCCGTTGCCTGCGCTTGTACCGGTCCTTTCATTCCACTTCTATCCTTCCCCAATCCCTTTTTTTCATTTCATTTCCACTAAACAACAAAACAAAGGGAAGCATTCCCCCAGATTTACAAAAGGAACATTTTGTTAGAACTCTCTGCTTCAAATATGAAAAAATAGCAACTTATGTAACCACTTAATTTATCTCTCTATTTTACCTACAATTGAGAGAGAGAGAAATACAGTCGCAATGTAACTAGTACTGATGCATAAACATCTACATTCTCTTTGTAAGCTTATTATCGTTTTACCTTCCAATAGAATGAATGCAAAGGGTTTTGAGTCCTTGTTGCTTAGGCATGGGAGTAAGCGTTACAATAGAACAAAATCAAAGGGTTTGAGTATCGTTGCTTGGACTTGGGGAAAGAAGTGTTATATGAGGATCACGTCTTGGAAGATGTTTTTCCATATAATTGGAGGGTCCTTTCAAAAGGACATGTATATCATCTAATATGTCTTGTAAACAAGAAACTAAATAGCACTTGGCAAACAAAAAAATAACCGGGGCATGAGAAAATGGAAACTCCTCGGGTTTTTCTTTTCGAGGTAGGGAGGATAAAAGCAAAGCTACAGGGTAAAACAAGAAACTAAATTGCACTTGGCAAACAAAAAAATAAACAACTAAAAAGTAAAGGAGAGAATGGTACCAATTCTTCATGCCAACCCATATTGCAAAGCATTTGGTTGCCCACATTTTTCTCATCAATTGCTTTCTCTGCTGTGATCACCTCAAAGCTTTGAACATCATCTGGAACAACCCCACGACTACCTCCAACACCAGGTGGGAAAGGCATTGGATCTGAGGAGAATTTTTTTAATGCCATATCTCAATCTTGAAAGAGAATTTCTCATAAATTAATAGAAATTTTTATAAATAAAACAAAGAAGCCATCAAGTCATAGAGCCAAGACCTCTGAATAAGCAATATTTAGAATAAATATTAGGTCTATTTTCGAGATGACTAACATTCAATACTGATAAACAAGCTTAGGGATTGTTTGTTTATTTCAGAATAATTAAGCGCTGAATG